TATGAGTCGGGTCCGACTCGACGGCACATAACAACAACATACTGCTTGCAAACAGTAATGTATAAATTACTCTAGATGAAATAACAAAATAGATCCAAAATGAGAATATATAAATATTAATCAAGTTCATTAAATCTAATTAATGACTTAATGTCATTAAATTTAATAATATAGTGATTCGTTTTCTCTTTTATTTGCTTTTAAACTGCTTTTAGAAGCATTTTTATTATTATTATTTTTTTTTTTTAGTTCCACTGTAAAAGCAGGGAAACAAACGAAAGATTTGATAGGAACCTCAGGCTTGGGGTGTAGTGAGTTTATGGGGAGACAGTTCAGAAAAGGAGGATGAGGATGGTTGTACGACAGGAAGCATGTAATCAGTGTCGCAGAACTGTGCACTTAGTAACTATCGAATGGGTGTATGTTTTACTGTGTTTATTCTCAGTAACAGAGTAAAATATAAAATAAATAAAAGCAGTAAAACAACACTGCTTAAATAACTAAAAGCATCTATGTGTGTTAGAACTTGTTCCATTCTTTTTATTTGCTTTAAACTTCTGACTACTATTTTTTACAGACTGCCATCAGTGAGAATTACCAGACAATGTCGGACACTACTTTCAAAGCCTTACGTCGACAGTTGCCAGTTACACGCACTAAGATTGATTGGAACAAGATCCTTAGCTACAAGATTGGCAAAGAGATGCAGAATGCATAAGATGAACATTGCATGACTGGATCATTTTCATGTCTGCGTTTATTAAAAAAAAAAAAATTAATTGCAAAAGTATTCAGAACTGTCAAACCGCCCAGTCAGATGGGCTGTTGCCATTTAAATCACTGTAATTAATTAGTTTGGTTAGAGCACAAAGCTTAGCTAATCAACCATTGTTTCTCATTTCTTTTGTTCAAAGAAGATTGAAAAATCAGTGTAGTTTAAAACATCTTTTATTTTCTGTTAGACCTTTCTTTCTTCAAATGAAGACATGATTTCTCTAGTTTATGGTTAAAAGTTTTTGAAGTGTTTAAAAATATTTTACTGTAACCCTAAAATTACTGTCTCTTGGCTTCTGTAACTTTTGATATTTGCCCAATTCTTTTTAATGGGGTCAATCATGGACATTCTGGTTTAAGGTGGTTGATGGATTTAGCCATATGTGCTGCTAAAGAAATTGTCTACTTGTCCCCTTGCCTCTTCCATGTACGTAAGAGTGCGATGAGAGGGAAAGCGTTTTCTGTGTCCATTATGTTTAAATCTTACAGGAGGGTTATTTAGCTAGCTTAGTGTTTAACTGAACTTTTTTACAAGGCCAAGGTCTAATGCTGTTTTGAGATTCTGAAATTAAATGAGGATACTATTTCAGAAATGCATTTAATGCTTTTTTTTTCCTCTTGTGACAGTTATGCAAATTAGCTTGAGTTTCATATGTCCCTGAGTTATTTTTATCATAAAGCCACAAATGTATTATACAAGGCAAATTGTAATATATATAATCCTGAACTCATGACCATGTCTCAGTTTTTTTTTTTTTCCCTTGGATTGAAAAGTACTGAAATTCAGTGTGACATTAAAATGTAAATTTTCCTATTTATTTGAGT